CAATTTTAATTATTTATTTTATTAGGAACATAGTCACAAATCATATCGACCACTTTGTGTTCTCACATTTCGCCTTAACTATCTAATGAATGAATTAAATCCATTTAGTTATCATTTAATAAATGTGATGCTTCATGCCTTAGTGTGTATCCTGTACTACAGGTAATATATTTAACATATTCTTTCTTAATATTAGTAATTGATTGCAAATTACTAAAACCTTTAACAGTAATTTTAATTAATTCTTTAGATTAAGTTATCATGTCTTTTGGATCTTTGTAAAGATGCTTCAGGCCTAGTTTAATATTTATATTAATACTGATGTTCTGCTTATCTTATATTAAAGATAATCTAAAATCACACATTTAACAAGAAATAATCAATTTATTACACTACATAGTGTTTAAGCAACAAAGAAGACTTACGACACGGTTTTGGATTATCAAATCATTTAATAGTTATTATGTGTTAATATAAAAAAATGGGAAAACACTGATGTAAATTATTACAATTTTATTTAGAGATGTAACCGATACCAATATATTGGCACATTGAAATGTTCCAGATATATTGGAATTAGTTAATACACAATCTTCACCAAGCAGTTTAATTTACTGAGATTATTCAATACAAACTAACATTTTCAACTTATTCAATATGCCATCTTCAAGTTTACAAAAATTTTTACTTAGTAAAATGTTCATAAATTACATTTCGTAAAATGCTGCCAGGTGTTTTTATAGGTTTTCTGCATCTCTGATTGATGCAGTGTTACTTTTTGTGTTCTTTATATATTGGGTTGTTTGGAAAGTAAGTTCGTTTTTTTTCCGTGAAAAAACCACAATATTTNATTCAATATATAACCAATTATTTGAGAAAACAAATGTTTTATATATATAATGTATGGAAGTGAGAATCTGACTCAGGATATTAATTGCAATAGAGAATATTCCAGTAAAGAAGATACCTTAGGTTTGGCTGAAACATTCAGAGATTTTAATGTTAAAAAAAAAATATATATATATATATAATTATTGCAAGGAAGAGATTGGCAAAATTGCTACTTAAACAATTCTTCTTTTAATGTTTTTAACATAATGTTGACCTATGACTATTAAACTATTTTGTCACAAAAACTTTTACCATATAAGCGTTAAATTACACACGTATGTCACTAAATTGACGCTTTCGACAATAGTTTTCTAATAGATGGTAAAAGTTTTTGTAACAAATGATTAGCGTGCTGTCTATCACTATATTATAGAAACTATTTTGTCACAATATATATAGAAATATATTAGTAATATACCATAATTTTGTCTAAACTGCATGTTTATGAGGCTTTTGAGTATCATTGCATTTTAGGAAACATAATTTACATAAATTATTATGTATAATTAATTGTTTTAAAATTATTTAATTTAAAACAATTTATATTGTTTATGCAAATGCAATAATTATTTAATTAATTATATTGATATGCAGCATAGTAGTATACATTAAGTATGTATAGTTTAATTTTGTAAAATCAGAAAAGATTAAAATATATTATGGCAATAAAGTAGGAAAATCTGAAAATTAGTTTAAAAAAGAAAAATATTACATTGATATGAAATATTTTAAAATAAAGTGATGATGATGGTAGTTGTATGATTTGAATTGTAAAGGAATAAGATGGACAAGGTGTACTGTACACCCCAAAAATTAATGCAAACTGAAGTAAAAATCTGGTTTGGTGTTAACATATGATGTGTGCTTTAATTTTAACACCAAAACTGATCTTTTGCTTGCAAACTGAAGTAAAAAAATAAGGTTAGGCCTATATTTGGTCACTTCAAAAATTTTCAAATAGAATGATTAATAAACAATAGTGTTGTTTAAAATTTTGCCTAAAAATTTAATTGGTAAAAGTTTACTGATATTTTTTTAGACAAAAATTTTGAAATAATGGTTACAAACTTGTGTGAATTTTTATTAATACTTATGTATTATCAAAATTCTACAATATAAAGTTCAGTGTTTAGAAAGAATAATTTTCTGTAATTATTTTTCTCAAAACTCCATGTTTTGTTTAGAGTATCTTTTACAACATGGAATTCATATAAAACGGAATAATCAACAGTGTTATAGGGGGATCGACTGTATCTTCTATAAATGAATTTAGATCTTACATGAGTTATGACTAATCATCTTTCTATGAGGAATGTTCAGTGCAAAGGTAGGAAAATATTGAAGAAATGGAGGCAAAAGAAATTGATTGCCAATTATGAGAAAAGAAGACATTCGTTAGAGAGTGTCTTCTTTTCTTATAATACCAGACTTGTTGAACTCAAGATATGTAGACATTAGAATTTATTTGGAATTTCTGTATTTTGTATTGAGTATAATAAATTTTGTTGAAATTGAATGTTTAGTGAATGAACCAAAAGAAGAATCGGACATTAAAAGGACAATGTACATAAAATTCTAAATATTTAGAATGTATTATAGTTTTTAATATTATGAGAACAGAATAAAAATTATAAATTTGGAGAACAATATAATATATCATATAAAACTTATTGTTATAAATTACCATTTATAATATGCAAGTTTAACAAACAAAAACATGATATTTTATTATATGGTAAAATTTTGTTAACCTGGCATCTGGTATGTTGGCAAACTTGATAAGCTGGCATGTTGAACTTGTCAATGGGGTTATTGGTGTACTGGGTATATCTGAAGTTAAGATTTTTTATGTAAAAGAACTCAAAATGTGCAGTTCTTGGAAAGGGGTGTGGGTTCTGCTTTTAGAGATGACAAATGCTAAAATGACATGATGCTGTGCTAGGTAAAACCAGTTAGCTCATGCATGATTTTTCTAAAGACTTTTAATGCATAGGTTTGATATGAGAAGCAGAAATATTTACTTGGACTCAATAATTATCATGGAAACAGCTACAGACATACTCTAATTATCAAAGTACATCTATAGGCAATAAAAGTGTACAAAGCACAAAGTAAGAAGAGAATGTTCTTGTTAGAATAGCCTGAAATGAAATAGTGTATTAAACAATCATAAAGGCAGATTTATACAGTTTTATATGCAAAGTTATGTAAATTTGTGTCCAGGGGATCGAAAAAAATCAGAAAAACTTCCACTGTCTAATAAGTCGGCATATTCAATAACCTGAAACCACATCAGTCCTGACAATTCCAGGTTAATGGAATATCACTATATTAATTTTAATTTAATTTTCAAGTGAATAAATTGAAATTGAAATTCTGACTTCTTAAAAGTAAATTTTGATGATATAAGATTTATTTATTTATAAATCATTATAAAAAAGAACATTTTGAAATAAAAATTTTATAGAAATATGAAAGTAATTTAAACAATAGCAAGGAAACATCTATTCCTTCTATAAGGAGAATCTGATTTGGCACTTCTTGCAATGGATTATTGTTTTGCTTTCAAATGTTCTCTTATTCAGCATTCTAATAGAAAGGAAATTAATAAAAAGAATAGAATTGTAAAAATAGAGGAAAACAGTTAAAATTAATATTTATGTAATAATGAACAACAAATCTTTACGATTTTTAAAACATAAGATTCTTAGGAAATCTATTAGAAATAATAAAACTTATATTAAATGATGTTTTTATCATATAGAGAAATAGTAAAATTGAATATAATGTTTCCTAATATTGTATTCAGTTATGGTATTTTTTATTCTAACAATAGTTGCAATGATATCTTATTTAATATCAATATAATCTGACAGAGCATAATAGTAATTCTACAAGATCAGATGATGATAAATTAGTTAATAAAACAATTTATTGAAAAAGATCTCAGTTTTAGAAAAAGTCATTTTCTCCTACATTTATTTTGAAACAATAATTAAGAAGTTTTAGGCAAAGCACAGAATTGTAGAAGTTAATCATCTACTTTGTTCTGATAACTTGCTTCAAAGGTTATATCTTATTTCAAAAATCAAATCATTGCCAAAGAGTTGAATTTAAAGATACAGAAGATATTTAATATAATGAAAGTAAAGAATTTATAGAGAGAAATTTAAACAAGATTAAAAATCTAAAAGCTCAAAAAATGTAGTGTAATTTCTCAAGAAAATTAAACAATATTAAACACCTTTTTTTTATTTTAATATGCAGTTTCCTTTAAATTCATATAGTTTTGGAACTTTTAATTGCCAAATCTTGTATATACTAATCTAAAATCAATAATACATTTGTGAAGTCTCCAACTTGGAATATTCAGATAGTGAGTAATTAACAATGCACTCTCATGTGTTGGATGAAAGTTCCAGATTTAAATCTCATTCTGAACTGTTGCTTTCTTAGATACATAAAATTAAGATTTTTCTTATATAAGTAAATTATTAATTTTAACATTTATGTATATAATTTTTTTTTAAAATAGAAAAACATGGACCTTTGGAAGGATAAAAAACATTATATATTATTGATTGCAACAGTATGTGCTTGTTACTTTAATGCTCTAGAATGTGATTTTGTTTTTGATGACATGTCAGCTATAAGAGATAACAAAGATCTTAGACCAACTACACCATTATGCAACATATTTTTAAATGATTTTTGGGGAACTCCTATACAAAAAGTAAGTAAAATTGCTTAGAATATTAATTTAGTTTGTTATGTAATTATACATTTTAAAATTAAATAATATTCAATATATAATTCAGCTATTTTGAGTAAATTTGATTGTAAACAGATTTATATGAACAACTTTTAATTATATAATTTATAACCTCCTTTGATTTGTTACATTAGCACAATATATTAAAACCAAAAGTTATCATAGAATGTTTTTAATCTGAATGAATTTTTGTCAGATGAGCTATTATAGAATTTTCCTTCATAAACTGTCATTCTAAGATACTATTTTTGTAACTCAGAAACATTATACCTTCATAGGTCATTATACTTCATCTGTCCAGAAGCTTTATTGCTGATTATTTATGTATTATTTGTATCATTGAGATCTAATTTTTGTTCTTACAATTCTTTTAATATTATGATAAATGGACTACATTTTTTGTTATGTCAAGAATCATTTACATTTTTATATATAATACCATTCTTAATCTTTTTAAGGCACTCCTATTTCTCCACATTCTGTATACATTTCTAATTTAAGTTATGTAAAATATTAAAATTTATTTTACTCATTGTGTTATCTTTCTTTCACCTAAGTTTTTGAAGTTTTAATAACAAGATTATAATTTTTTCTTACAGTTGTTTTATATCATTGAATTTATTTTGATTTTGAAAGTGATATGCATTACCATGGCAATTAAACTATTTGCTAATGGATATCATCTGTCCTATGCTGATTGTTTGATAACAGAACATTGTAAATATCTGACTTGGCAAGTAGACAGAGAGAATGATGATTACTTTCTCTCTCTTCCTCTATAGTTTTTTGTTATTTCTAAGTCTTGATATTGTAGTATATCTACTAATTAGAATATGAATCCAACAGACTGTTCATTGAATGATTTTATTAATTTCATTTAAATGTTCAAGTTCTTTTTTTTGAGATGTTGGATTTTCAATGTCATTTAGTAAATTTTGTTTAATAATGAAGTACTGTATTTTGTAAATTTGAAATTATTCCAATTTAAAGAACAAATCTAATATAAATGGGTATGATATATTTTTTAATAATTTGAAATGTTCATAATAAATGTTAATTGTTTGAGTTTTTTTTTTTTTTGCATATATTTATGAACATTAATTATTGTTTCTTATTTCTTTTCTACTATGACTATAAATGGAATGGATGACATCTCTAATGGATTACGAGAACTTTTGAAAAATAATTTTTTTAAACAAAAAGTTTTTATATATGATTTGTTTACAACATTCACCACAGCAAAAAACACTGGTTGTTTAGAATAAAACTTCTTTTTACTTGTTTTTGTGGTATTTTGTATATAGTTTTATTGATTTGTTTACTTCACAAAAATACTTAAATATTTCAATTATATCAATATTTTTAAAAAATAGTTATTATTATTAATTTTCATATATTAAATTTTTTTAGGATTTCTAAAGCAGCTTACAAAAATAAACTTGCAATTTATTCACTATAATTTAAATAAATTTAGCACTCATTATTATGACAATTGTTTAATATATTTAATATTATTTAATCAATTTTTAACTTCACTATATTATATTATACTATAATATAGTATAATATTATATTATACTATAATATAGTATAACTAGCTTACTCGTCGCGCATTGCTGCGATCTCAAAAGAAAGGAAATTCAAGCAAACTCGTTATGATAAAATTCAATTTACATTTTATTATTTTTATTGAAACTTATTATTATTATTCATTTTCATCGGTAAAACATTTCAAAGTGTCGTTTCAATTCTATTTATTTATTGGAGTGCTTGTGGATACACGATATTTTTTGTTTTTCCGTCTGGTGCGTACACGAATAAATCAGGTTTTCCGACGCGTTAGCTGGTCACATACAGTTGTCCACGCGAGAAACACGCATTCTCCAAATTTAACCCACACACTCGCAGCGATTGTCAGAAGCGCGATATTCCCCATTTATACAGGTAACCCCCGTATAACACGGCACTTCTATAGCACGGATTCGCTCTAACACGGTTCGAGAATTGGTACCATCCCCCGTATAACACGGTACATTTATAGCACGGATTCACTCTGACACGGTTCGAGAATTGGGTAAAACCCTCGTACAACAGGAAATGTAATAAATTTTTACATACTTAAGTAATAATAGTGCACGAAAATTATTATTTTCGTGAACTATTAGTACTTAAGTATGTAAATTTTCTCTTCTCGCCTTCTGTCGATACACGTGGTCCGTCTCGAAACTTGTTTCAGTGTTGCCAGATCGCGACGCTTCTGCTTCTGATGTTGCCGAATGTTTTTCCCTTATTCCATACTTGCTTTATTCTTCATAAGTGCTTAGCACCATATAAGGAAATTTATAAAGACCTTTTAACTAGAAGC